GTAGGCACCTGATATATACTGTACATTTATCTCAAGGAAGTATTATGTAACATTTAGTATCATCTGGAATAGTACAATAGCATGGTGGTAATAAGAACATCTCATAATGTTACCACGGTTATCACTTCAATATTTATTTATTTTATTTATTTATTATTATTTTTTATATTATAAGTATATACATAAATTACAGTGGAATTGAAAAATATAAGTATAATGGGGAAGCAGTACAACATTGATTGATACTATACAGGTATACAGGTCAGCATGAATATACACAATGTAAGGTAGTACCTGTATACGGTAACAGTGTTGTATATCTATTACTGTAACACTATTAACTTTATTATTATTATTATTATTATTATTATTGCCACGATGTTTGTATCGTATTTTCTCATTAGTTCCTTTTTAAGGCTAAATCGTCACTTACCTCTATTTTGTGTAATATGTATTTAACAGTAATTTATCTCTAATGGTAAGATACCTGACATATTAAGATGGTATCCACTTTTTTACACATAATAGTTAAGTCATTTCCTGTGCATAGAATTAAACACACAGTGTGTGTGAATAACAAAGTGTGAGGCCAGACATAGAGTATTATGGCCTCACACTGCAGTCTGTCGCTGCCGTAGATGTGAGTAAGTCAACCTCTATGTATAGAACTACACAATAAATGTTTTGGAAATACTCTGTAGCATTCAAAGGCTCTATTATAAACACCCTATGTTAGCTCTGCTCTGTAGTGGCTTTTGCACAATAAACTAGGTTCTGCCAGTTGTAACCTAGAACAAATATTATTTCACTTGACGATCCTCAATATAAAAGTTATCACCATAGCTAACACATTTTTACTTGAGACTCGGTAGTAACTGTATTCTACCTGTATAGTGAGGCGCTAATGTCGAATATATATTTGTTGTCCTATCGGGTCGCGCTTTTTCTGTACAGAGTGTGTATGTTTTATCAGTTGTCTGCATTTTCTGTTCACATGGAAAACACAAATGAAAACATGATGATTTTTCTTAATGCTGTTTGTTATGAAAACTACAAGTGATATACCCTGTACATCTGTGGTGACATGAAAGTGGTTGGATTCCTTGTTGATATACAAAGTGGGTTCACGAAATCTTGCTGATTTCTTTGTCTCTAGGACAGCTGAGCTACACATGAAGACTGACTGGCCTCCTCGTGAAATTCTTATTCCTGGACAGCATAGTATCAACTCTTGGTCTCATCACACAAAGTCTGTCGTGGATTCCATTATTGTCTGACACATTCCCGGCATTACAGATCCTGAATTGAAGGGAATAATTTTCAGTGGTTCACATAAGAACTCTTCAAAATGATGATGAATTTCTGGATCAACGACAACAAAACTAATTCCGTGTTTGGTTTCCATCAAGGTTGGCAACTATAAAATACTCATCCAATAACTTCTTACTGTTTATAAAGACACAGAACCTCATGTGTGTCAAATTCACTTTTTGCAGTCATGATGATAATTATTTTCCCGAGTAATTACCGATGATGTGTTTAATGAGCGCGAAGAAATATTTCACAAATAATTTCTCAACATCAAGTGTATATTCGTTGAGTCAATATACATATACAATAACTTATTTATTACGGTTTGTTCCATTATAAAGTACATATAACCATTTATTTATATTTTAGATTAAAAAGTTAGTGCACACCTTCCTCTGTAGCGGGTGGCCATACAAACAAACACCTCACCTCGCACATCATAAACATTATCATATTCGAAATTAACATCCAAAAAAATGTTTAGTGAAATGTAGTTCTTGAGCCAGATCTTGTTTTGATAACTAGTGTAATGAAATTGACAAATGTCTTTACGATGTCTCTCACTCGAGTTTAGGTTAGGTTAGGTTAAGTTATCGTTAGGGTTAGGTTAGGTTAAGGATATGAATAAAAAAAATTCTAAATTGGCTCTTCTTTTACCTCTTCGTCGTCCAAACAGCAAGGTACCGTCAACATATATCAGTATTCTGAAACTGACCCCTCGCCTCACAAGCGGGAAGCGGGTCATCAGCATATATACGAGACAGCTAGGGGCGTTTGGAGAGCCTGTGGTCCCTGGTATCTGATTGGTGATGAAGGAGTCTGTGTTCTAAGAGGCTCTTGCTCCCCCCCACACACACACACACCGTATAAGGTTTGGGGATATAAATTGGACTCGAGCAGAACATTGCTTCGTGGGGACACAAGCGCTATAAAAGAACGAAGATGCTTTCAACTTGATTAAATTCTGCTTTGGTGGAGTATGGAAATACTTGTCGACGGTGATCTGGCTTACACATACATACATACATACATACATACATACATACATACATACATACATACATACATATAATGACGAATTCTCATCTTTCACTATACAGTATGTAAGCATGTACTGTATATTACAAAACTTGCCGGTGGTCCGACACTGACAAATGGTTATCCTACCTGTTTGACCACCGAATAAACCACACGTTCATTTGTATCTACAGTGAATATTTAAAAGGTGCTAAATAGAAAAATATTAAAATTGACAATATAAAGGTGATATTAAAGACCCTATGAATTTTTATAACAAAATAATACAAAAAATTAAAGGGCTTGAATACTGGCACGGTGATTAGTTTAGTTAAGGTTCCCGCCTAAATCCCAGACTCCTCCCACTCCCTCGGTCCATAAATACTCGGCGGAACAGTGGAAGAAGTTCAGGTCTGATAGAAATCCCAGCCAGGGTAGTGCTAAGTGACCCAAGGATATACGCCTCAACACAGTCGTCAGCTGTTTCTACTGGTCACCTGAGTATCAGTCTTGTCTTACATAGTTAAAAAAGAGCTGTACGGAGATTATTCTGACTTGGTATAACTTAGCTTTTTATTGGTGTATTTGGGGACTCGTTCTTATTCATGTATATATTATCGATTGTTTGATTCTGATTTATATCTTTGTGTGTGTGTGTGTATTTCCCTCATGACTTACATTATCTTGTGAAGTAATAATATAAGCAGTTACTTACATTTATTATAAGTTAATTACTTGTGGTGTGTCTTTACCTCCTACTTCCTACCTTGTGTTTGAACCATTTTAACGTTAAGTGGAGGAGGATTCAGAAAAGTTCCAACTCAATTTTACTCAAGGCTAAACGGATATAAAACAACACTTAGTTATCTTTAATTGATTTTTGTTGTTGTTGTTGTTGTTAACGTATTATGAATAGATTAATTACTAAAACCTTATTACGTGATGAGAGACCTTAAGTATTATTGTAGTATAGAAAAAAAACATTATAATGTGTATGTCAACTGAATCTTACCTGACTCTAAGCTCCCCTGGACAATAGATTAGTTTTAAGGAACCGTAATTAGTTTGATGACGACGACAAGGTGAAGGAGTCTCTCTAACTGTCTTCCTTGTGCAGCAAATTTGGTACACACACACACACACACACACTGACCCTTTCGACTCTCACTGACCATCACCACGACCTCATCTGCAAATTTGGTAAGAAGCTTCTACACCATCCTCGACACCGGCTCCTACTACCACCTGAGATCCCTAGCCCGAGAATTGCTGTTCGACACCACAACCGCATCCAGCCCATACGTGCACGAACTGATCGCTATAAGAACAGCCCAGTCCCAACCATTGTAAAAATTATCAATAACTTGTAATAAACCAGTGTATTCACTCCCAGTAAACACTACTCCTTGCACTGTCACTATGTTGAAATGAACTGTAGTTTGAGCTTTCCCCCATCTAGTTATTATATATCTTATTTGTATCACTTATGTTACTTATTTGTAATTCGAAACCCATTCCCCAAATATGTAACTGTATATTTTCAGCCTTCTGGCTGCCAAGCTCTTTCAATAAACCGTTAATTATTATTATTATTATTATTATTATTATTACACACACACACACACACACACACACACACACACACACAAACGCGCGAGCGCGTTCTGTACCTGAGATATGCTGGCTGGTGGTGTTGTAAATCTGCCATCGAGATTAAAACGAAGTATTTGTGTAAAAATGTGTTGGCTCCGGTGATAAACCAGGGGTAAGCGAGCACCCAAACTTTACCAGCGGCGTTATACAAATTGTGTTTTAATCGGCAATACGCCTCAAAGTAACACATTAATTCAGGCGTATGCTACCATCATATAATTGAGCATTTGTGTGTGTGTTCGTTTATCCTATTTTTCATTTAGGGATTATTCAATTTACCTTATTTTATGTGTATTAAACTTATTTCGATTTATCATATTATTAATCATCCTCATTTTAAATTGACTTTAAGACTATTTCATGCCAACTGGGTCTATTTAATACACGTGAGCCCTCATTTTAACCCATTTTCTCTCGACCTATTTCATTCTGTTTCCTGCCAAATCCTTTTTTTCCAAACCTAAAATTGTTTAAGGTGAGAACAAGATCCCCTTTTAAGTATGAAAACCCATATCCTGACTTAAACCTCCTAAAGGGGTTTATCGATTTAGATTATTTGGTTAGGTTATGTTCAGGTAGGTTTGGTAATTTAGAATCGCCAAGGATAATTTAGATTATGTTCGGTTGAGTTAGGTTTGGTTAGATTAAGATAGGTTAGGTTATGTTCGGTTTAGTTAGCGTTAGGTTAGGGTGGTTATACTAGGGTAGAAATAAGCTAGGGGTGACTTAACCTCAGTAATATACAGTACTTTTTTTTTTTACGGGCATTGGCTCACCCGGGCATATGTATTCGTTGGGTTATGTTAACATATTATGGTAGACGGTAATATATGTTCACCAATGTCCACAAGTGTTCACAAAGAAAGATCGTTTAGAGATTGTGGACACATTCGCAGGAGATAACAATACCTTATAAAACACTTCTTTTTTATCCTGCGCACACCGACCGCAAACCCTCGGAGCCTAACTGAACCGTTTCGAGCAGCGAGCTCAGTCAGTTCCAGACTCCAGAGCCCAGCCGCCCAGTAGTGGCTTACCTCCCGTGGTGATAGGATGTGTGCCGCTCTCCTCTTCACCCATTGACCCGCACATGCTTGTAAACACCCGGAAAAAAAACTTGAAAAACCTTACGTGATTTAATATATCTTGAACCAACTAATGATATTTTTTTTCTCTCACTCATCTCTTGGAACTTAAGAGAAACTGATTGTTAATATTCGTGAATTTTAAGTCAATCTAGTTGAACGTGTACAGTATGTTATGAATAAGTATTATTGTGTTGACAAACGTAGTGACGGCAGCACTAGTGTTATCCTTGGCTAAAGAGGTCCATATCGCTCTCTCAGACACGTGCAAGAGGTCGTGCTGGATGGATGAGTCGTACAACCGCTGGAGGTCGTCGCTGTCGTATCTCTGGTATGTAGAGGAGTAAGGGGCAGTTACTACAGTAGAGCAGATGTTCAACCACTGTAGTTGTTGTGCTGGGAGTAGTAAGTAGCCCAGTCCCTGTTGTGGTGTGCTGTGTTGTAGTGTGTCGTGCTGTGTTGTAGTGTGTCGTGCTGTGTTGTAGTGTGTCGTGCTGTGTTGTAGTGTGTCGTGCTGTGTTGTAGTGTGTCGTGCTGTGTTGTAGTGTGTCGTGCTGTGTTGTAGTGTGTCGTGTTGTGTTGTAGTGTGTCGTGCTGTGTTGTAGTGTGTCGTGCTGTGTTGAGTGTGTCGTGCTGTGCTAGTGTGTAACTGTGTTGTTTGTCATGTCGTGCTGTGTTGTAGTGTGTGTCGCTGTGTTGTAGTGTGTCGTGCTGTGTTGTAGTGTGTCGTGCTGTGTTGTAGTGTGTCGTGCTGTGTTGTAGTGTGTCGTGCTGTGTTGTAGTGTGTCGTGCTGTGTTGTAGTGTGTCGTGCTGTGTTGTAGTGTGGTGTGTTGTACCGATTTTATTGACAAGATGAACCATTTCATGTGATACAAATTATATTAGCACTTTATTTTTTGCGCGGGGAAGTGGAGAATATTCTGACCGGCCATAAACATATACTATACATGAATACCTAACTTAAACTTACGATTATCTATATGTAACGTGACAGACAGACAGCTCCATTGTATTGCACTGCACTGGATATTGAACATTCATTGTAAGTGGGGGCATAAGAATGGTCATAACTGTAGATAGATAGATAGATAGATAGATAGATAGATGATTTTACAGAACTCCAAAAGGAAACGAAGTTAATCCGCTTGATGCCATAGGATTTAATTCTCCTCTTATCTGGATTTTGTGATTTCAGATTCATTTCAAGAAGACTTAAGAAGAACACGAGTTAAGGATTTTATAAAGAGGATTCATATCAATGTAGTCTGCCCCAAAATTCTCGTTATTACTGTATTTTACTTAATTGTAAAACATCCTTTTAATATTAAGTTTTCCGTTGTACTTTATATTGCATCTTGTTTGTAAAAAAATCACGGTGTACATTAGTATATACTTACAGAGAGACGCCCAGATATACGCGTACACATGGATGCACAAAGTTCTAAACACAGACACACTCGGGTTAACAATAACAACGGCAAATATTCACCCAGCCACGTACAGTTAAGGCCGTATATCCTTTGACAGGCTCTTCTGACTAACCCAGTGATGTGGCAGCGTTCTAAACACATACACACAGACGGCCATTGTATGTAAATAATATTCATGTTGAAACTTAACTTGGTGTTCCTTTCAAAACCTTTATATACAACACTAACAAACATGAGTAAATATATTGTTTGTGCGGGCATTAACTACAAGAGCGTCTGGCGATGTTCACTTTTAGATCCAGCACAACTTTTTGAAAACTTTTGTCACGTTATCTGGTGAAAATTTACGTTTTATGTAATACTGAATTAATTAATTTTTACCTGAGGTTCACAGGTGCTAGTTAATGTACCCTTTTACCTGAAGGTGTTAAGGTGTATCTAATTGATTACCTTTGCCTTAATCATAATAATATCGTAGGTTAAGTTTGGTTAAGTTAAATTAAGTGAAATTGGGTTCGTTTCGGTTTGGTTAAGTTAAATTAGTTTAGGTTTGGTTAAGTTTAATTAGGTTAGGTTAAGTTAAGTGTGTCTAACTAATTAACCATAATTTTAACGTAAATTGTGAGAAAGTTCAGAGAAAGAATATTTAATGGTCAAGTTAATGAACGTTTTTGATTGAAGTTCCAAGAGTTTAAGCTGTGTGTTGGTGGAAAACTTAAGCTGTGTCTTGGTGGAGAACTTAAGCTGTGATGGTGGGGTTTAATTTTAAAGCAGTTGTCGGTGTTATGTACTTATGTTTTCCTCAGTCATCCCATTAAGTGTCCCGTTTTCTCGTGACACCCTATAATCACTATGAAAGTTAAAGTCTTCTTAAGATTGTGATATATGTTTTGTTATTCTTATTTATGGTATGATTTAGTAACTGTTTTAGTAAAGAACATTAATATATGATTTTTTTAAACAGTTTTCAATGTGAGAATATTGCAGTGGTTTAAATGAAGAATGTAAACAAGATGTGGATAAGTTTGTGAAATCGTATATTTATGTTACAGCAGAAGGGAGACTGTGACATCGGGGAGAATTTAAACTTTGGTGGTTGAAAGTTTAAACTGTGTTGGTGGAAAGAGCAAGCTGTGATGGCGAAAAGCTTAAGCATTGGTATGGTAGAGCTATTAGGAAGCTTAAGCATTGGTATGGTAGAGCTATTAGGAAGCTTAAGCATTGGTATGGTAGAGCTATTAGGAAGCTTAAGCATTGGTATGGTAGAGCTATTAGGAAGCTTAAGCATTGGTATGGTAGAGCTATTAGGAAGCTTAAGCATTGGTATGGTAGAGCTATTAAGAACAACTTTCACAACAGAAATAGTATGTGAGTATGGTAGTGGTGGGAGGCGCGTGTGTCCCTCTTTCTCTCAAGTTAGGTAAAAGAGAAAGGGAAAGAATGATAAAATTAAGAAAAAAATAACATTCATTATTACTAAAGGATTCACAACTTTTAATAACTTGTCAATTATATGAGACACCATCATAAAAAAAACAACACTTGTGATCTTGAGTGAAATTTTGTCTGCTAAAATCAATGATGCTATATGGAAGAGAAAGGAATCTTGTGAACGATGCAACATAGTTTTAATCTCTCATCTGATTTTGTTTCATGTGTGTGTGTGTGTGTATGTTTATTTTTGGCTTCACACAAACCCACAAGTTTTAGATTAGACGTTCAGTTAATGCAGATAGAGTGACTCTTTTCTCAGGTGTATTGTTTAATTCTCTCTCTCTCTCTCTCACTCTCTCTCTCTCTCTCTCTCTCTCTCTCTCTGTTTTTGTTTGGGAGAGGGAAAGAGGAGGAGGAGTGGGGGAGGGAAAAGAGAGGGTGGAAGGGGAGGAGGAAGAGAGGATAGGAATGAAGAAGAGGAGAAGTTGTAGATGAAAGGAGGGAATGAAGAAGCGGAGGTGAGAGGAGAGGCATGAAACTGTCCCCATATTTATAAAACCCGCTCTTAGAAATAGAAGAAAAAAACATTCTAAGAGGCCTAAAAACCGCGTTTAAAGGCTCAAAAACCGAGCAACCGTAAAATGTGCGAAGCTGGATGTATTGGGGAGGAGGTGAACAGAGAGGTGAACCGCCATCTACATAACAAAAGAATAGCGGCGAGCGATAAATGAATCTTCTACACTTTCTACATCTTTTCTACACACCCTACACGCCTTCTACACACCCTACACGCCTTCTACACACCCTACACGCCTTCTACACACCCTACACGCCTTCTACACACCCTACACGCCTTTGCCACACACCCCACACGCCTTTCTACACACCCCACACGCCTCACACACCTCACACGCCTTCTACACACACACACACACCCTTCTACACACCCTACACACCCTTCTACACACCCTACACCCCTTCTACACACCCTACACCCCTTCTACACGCCCTACACCCCTTCTACACACCACTCCAAATATAGCTGTCACCAACACTCAAAATATAGCCATTGCTAGCACTAAATATAACCAGAACTAACTTACACGTGAATATAGCGGCTACTTACTCCTACATAATGCAGGCCTCAGGAGCACACCTGCACCACCTGTGATAAATAGTGTTTAATCTAGGCCAGAAAGTTTACCTTGATAAATAACAACATCGTTTACTTTACCTGTGGTGCACATGACCTCGTAAATAACCCCCCCCTTTATAGCTGTCACCAACACTCAAAATATAGCCATTGCTAGCACTAAATATAACCAGAACTGATCTAGGCCAGAAAGTTTACCTTGATAAATAACAACATCGTTTACTTTACCTGTGGTGCACATGACCTCGTAAATAACCCCCCCCCCCTTTTTTATAATTAATGATTAATGATGGTGGTGATGATGATAATTGGATTAGTCGTGATAATAACATTCATAATATTACTACTGATGCTACTACTACTGTTACTCCCAACTGTTTTTAACGTGACCTCCAACCTCCCCCAGTAGCCACACTCTCTTCGCCATTTTATTGCCTTAATATTAAATACCCTAGTACAATACACACACACACACACACATACACACACACACACACACACACCACTAGGGCGTCGCTAACTTTGTCATAACACTTCATGGCTTTGTTGGTCCACTCTTAAGTGATACTCCACTTTGTAAAAACACTCAAGGGTGTAGTCTCAAGTTCCTACTCCACTAGAGGTTCGAAACTGAATTAGAATACTTATGTGAGTAACTGAACGCGTGTGTGTGTGTGTGTGTGTGTTGGTATTTATCAATCGAGTCATTTCTTTAATCTCTTTATTATTATCTAATATTTATCGGTCTACCCTAAGGCTATGTTAACTATTCTCTAACGTAACCTAACCTAACCAAAATTAACCTCTTCAACACATGATCTGACTCCTAACTTAACCTAACCTCTTCAGCACATGACTTGACACCTAATCTGACCCGACCTGGCCTCTTCAACACATGACTTGACATCAAATTTGCCCTGACCTGACCTAACCTCTAAAAAACACATGACCTCACCGAACTTAACCTGACCTGACTTCTCCAAGACATGACATTAGCTCCTGTATTGTCACGCAACTTTCGTCAATAGTGATATTATGTAAAAAAAAAAAAGAAAATCCGAGCAAAGTTTCTCCAGTAAACTTACGAAGAGTTGTACGATGGTTTATGTGTGTAGATGAGAGAGAGAGAGAGAGAGAGAGAGAGAGAGAGAGAGAGAGAGAGAGAGAGAGAGAGAGAGAGAGAGAGAGCAACATCACGTTTCTGGTAGTCCAACTTTAAAATAAGACCGTGGTGGCTACCGACCCGAGTCTGGTTAAGAGTTGAGTATGTGAACCTGTGTAAGACATGACTCCTTGTGACTCGGGGTATCCAAACCTAACCTAACCTAACCTTGGTGTCCAGCTATTTAAGTTAAATAGACTAGGGGCTGGACCCGGATATGTAGACGATTCGTTACTATTTATATGATACTTTCTGACTCGTAAATTGAGTTAGATATTTATTAGGATTAAATATTATTGAAGTATACAATAAGAGATATGTACTATATTGTCTTGTGGTTGGGATTAGTTGAAGTTTGGTTTGGTCATCATATTCAGGGAGTTAAATCATCGTATCCAAGGGGGTTAAGTCATTGTACTGAAGGAGGATAAATCGTCATGGTTAAATCGCCGTACTGTTGGGGTTGTCATCGTATTCGGGGTTAAGTCGTCGTACTCAGGGCTAAGTCGTCGTACTCAGGGCTAAGTTGTCGTTCTCAGGGCTAAGTCGTCGTACTCAGGGTTAAGTTGTCGTTCTCAGGGCTAAGTCGTCGTACTCAGGGCTAAGTCGTCGTACTCAGGGCTAAGTTGTCGTTCTCAGGGCTAAGTCGTCGTACTCAGGGCTAAGTTGTCGTTCTCAGGGCTAAATCGTCGTACTCGGGGGTAGCTTAACGTGTTCATTGGGTTTAACATCTTACTGAAGGCATACGGTTACAGCAGTAGGCACCAGACTTTGAGTTTGTTGGATAGGTGGTTCTGTGGCACTGAGCATGATGAGCCGTGTGTTACCTTGTGTTATTGTGTTTTACCGTGTTTTATCGTGTGTTACCTTGTGTTATTGTGTTTTATCGTGTTTTATCGTGTGTTACCTTGTGTTATTGTATTTTACCGTGTTTTATCGTGTGTTTTGTGTTATCGTGTTTTATCGTGTGTTACCTTGTGTTATTGTATTTTACCGTGTTTTATCGTGTGTTATTGTGTTTTACTGTGTGTTTTGAAATAGTGCAAGGAACAGATTAGCGGACCCCTCGTAAATATATTTACAAAATCATTTGACACGGAGTTGTGCCAGACTTGTGGAAACAGGCAAATGTAGTACCTATATTCAAAAAGGGAGACAGAGCATCAGCGTCAAATTACCGGCCGATTAGTTTGACGTCAGTAGTGGGGAAATTTCTTGAATAAATTATAGCAAATAGCATCCGATCGCATTTAGAGAAAAACAAATTAATCTACGACTTTCAACATGGATTTACAAAGGGGAAAATCTTGTCTAACAAATCTACTGACGTTTTTTTAGGAAAGTCTATGAGGTAGTAGATAATGACGAAAATGACTATGTTATTTTAAGTAAAGTTTTTTATTTATTTTCTGGAAGTGACGCTAGAAGATCATGGTGAAAAACTTTAACAAAAAAAGGAAGATGTAAAGTTTGGAATACCTGAAGCTTAAAGACCACCAGGTAGTTTTATCTGTTAAATATCCTACCTCTACCTGTGTCTGGGGGTTAGGTTTGGTTAGGTTAAGTTTGTTTAGGTTTGGTTAGGTTAGGTTTGGTTAGGTTATATTGAGGTGATTCAGTGATTTTATCTGAATCTGAAACTGACTCTGAAAACTCAATGGAAGGTTTAGATAGAAAAAAAAAGAGTTGGAGTATTCGGACGATATTCCAGGCAAAAATAAACTGGAAATCGTGTTTGACGCTTGAGGAAGTAAAAAAGAAGGTAATGAGGCAAATTTTTCTGTAAATTTATTTCTGGAAAAATCATACTGGAAAATTTTATCGAATGTGAACATTTTGGGTCGTTATTTATAAGAATTAGGACTGGAAAAAATAGTGTAAACATGAAAGTCGTGAACCTAACCTAACCCCACCTCATCTAGCTCTCTGTCTCTACGTCTCTGTCTCTCTCTCTCAAGAACCATTCCGTAACACAGCACACGGAAGAAAACAAAAACATTTAAAAACAGTGAAACCTCCATTTAACGGATACTGTCCGCTAAATAGAGGTATCACATCAAACTGACCTTGATTTAACAGACAACAAACACGGTAGAGGCGACAGGGAATTCCTACTTTCACTCCCAAAACAGAAATGAAATAAGAACTAGGTCAGGCGGTGATAAAAGACAGTGGATGGTGCATGGTTCGATGATTGAGGAAATGAATGAGAGGGGGACTAACAGGAGAGAGAGAGAGAGAGAGAGAGAGAGAGAGAGAGATAGATAGATACAGCAGCATCTGAATTGTGGCTTGAATATTTACTATGAAAGTATTGAGAGGAATTTTTCGTAAGTTAGATCCATTTCAAACTATCACACCAAAGTAGGATAATTAAAAAAAAATTATCATGCATTGCCCTGTTGACCTTTTGCTTGGGGCCAAAGTATTAAAAGAAAAAAAAAGTTTGAAAGTCATTAATTTTGTCTTCTTGGTCTTATGTGTCAAGCTAAATTAATCGCAAAAGTTACTAATACTTTTCCTCTCCTGTGAAAGTAGTCGTGTCAGGTAGAGGAAAAGTATAATTACTTTTTGTGTTGTTATATTGAGGACGATGGATAGCTTCAAACATAGGTTGGATGGATATATGAGCAATAGGTGTTGGGTGTAAATGAGACTGACCAGTATGGGTTCGCTGCAGTTTTCCTCCATTCTTATGTTCTTATGTTCTTCGAGCTTGATGTCTTAACCCTTCGACAACAATGGCTTAAACAAGTTTTCTCTCCAGATTTCTAGACTTGTTCAACATAAGTGACTGACAAAAAAGAGAACTCAAGAATTAGTGAGCAGTTCTTTAAGTTTTGTGAGTTTCGTGTATGCCCAAGCACTCCTCCTCCTTCCTTCTCCCGGCAAGACCAACAGTCACACAGCACAGCCGCTTCCAGCATTCCTTCTGCGAATTACGTGTGGAAACCAGAACATAAAGCTCACTAATGGCCACACCCGTCAACTACAGTATCTTGCAACTCCTTCTGTGCCAACACCTTCCTTCCTTCCTTCCTTCCTTCCTTCCTTCCTTCCTTCCTTCCTTCCTTCCTTCCTTCCTTCCTTCCTTCCTTCCTTCCTTCCTTCCTTCCTTCCTTCCTTCGCCAACACCTTCCACTCTCAACACCATCACTACCACCATCGCTATCACCCATACCCCGGCTAACACACACACACACACACACACACACACACACACACACACCAGTATTGTTCGGTTCATCAAGGGGATGGACTTGAGACCTACTGATTGACAACTAATCACTTGCTCAACAACTCGAACGACCTGTTTAACTGATCACTTTCCTGAATACGAGCCAAAAATACGACAGCTAATTGAGGGGTTAAACCATCGTCCTCAAAAGGGTTAAACCATTGTCTTATTATCTCTCTCCCTCCCTCCCTCTCTTTCTCTCCTTCCTTTACATTCTTCTCTCCTCCTCCTCTTCTCCTCCTCCTCCTTCTCTTCTCCTCCTCTTCCTCCTCCTCCTCTCCCTACCTTCCCTCTCTCATTTAAGTTTGTTAATATTCTTTTCCTGCCATCTGTCCTCTTCAATCTACTTTGTATTTATCCCCGTGTGACTTTCTTATTCATCTTTCAATAGTAAGATAAAAATTATTATATATTTATTTCTCAATTTCTCTGATTTATTGTTTTTTTTCCTTCTTCCCTTTTTTATTCGTTTTTTTCTTTATGTTTTTATGTTTTATATCCAGTCTCCTTCTTTTTATCTCTTTCGTGTAGTTTTTTTTTATATATATTTAATATTATTCTTGATAGTTTTCTACGTGTTTATATTATTGTTGTTATTATTTTTTGTCTTTTGTCGGTGTATTGAAATTAACCAATGTTAATACTTGTAAATCTCTTCTTCATTTCAGATCAGTATCGTTCTTAGAAACCTCTATTGGTGGGTTTCTAAATGACAGTGATTAGAGAACTATGAGATAACAGAGGTGGAGGAGAACCATGCTTAGAGAACACTCGATAAACTAAGTAGAGAACATAGTTAAAGAAATAGAGAACAAATGGATTAATATCTTCATTGTTAAAGGTTCAGTAGAGACCATAGCCTTATCTTCATTATCGCTGTTTTAACTTTGGTTCGTAAGATAAGCTGGGAAAAGCTTCAGTGAAATGAGACAGTGACAACTAAGAGAGTTACAGTGAAGTAAGTTTTAAGCTGGAATGGAAGTCATTTTTAAGGTGACAGTGACTTATATTTGTGATGTGGCACTGAAGTGAAGGAAATTCATTGTAGTGAGGCAGTGACTGACAGAAGTTGGTACTGTCAACGAAAAAAAGTAATGACAGTGAAATGACGAAGTGATTGTACTGTGCATCTTAGGAAAGTGACAGTGAAGTGATTAAACAACCCTGAAGGGAGAAAGTGACAGTGAAGTATCTGTGGAAAGTGACAGTGAATTGACAGTGACTCAGAGAAATAAAACAAAAAAAGAGCGAGAGAGAGAAAGAGAGAGAATACCTGACCTAATCCCTACTCCCTCACCTAATCTCTCCTCCCTCACCCACTACCTCCCCCTCACCTTCTCTCCCCCCTCTCCTCCTCCTCCCTCACTCCTACATCTCTCTGCTCGCTCCTGAAGGACGCCATCTTGAGCCATGGAAGTTCCCGCTCTCCTACGTGCCGCTGAGATCCTACGCCTCCTCCTCATCCTAGCAACACAAGGTAAGGAAGGAATCCCCTGTTTACATATATTTTATCCTC